CAGTAGATACTTTAGGCTTTGCAAGCCACATAGTCCCTGTAGCAACTATTCAATTCTGCCCTTGTAGTGAGAAAGCAACTATAGATAGCATGTAAATGAATGAGTGTGGCTATGGTCCAATAAAACTTTATTTATAAAAATAGGCAGTAGGCAAGATTTGGTTCATGGGCTGCAGTTTGCTGGTCCCTGGTATAAAAGGATGACTGCTTAAATCCTTTGTGGAAGCAGATAGGAAACAGAATAGTGCCTGAATGGGACACATGAAGCTTCCATCTGCTTCTGTTCTTCATGTTGCTTTTCCTTAAAAGAACCACTGAAGACAATATGAATTTTGAAAGATGGCAGATTTTACAACACTGCTGGATGGTAATTTATGGGCATTTGATAGAATATATGTGGGCTTATTGGAAAGGGATGGCATAGGTTGGTGGGGATAAAAATATTGCGGCACAGGTCAGTAGGCAAGCAAAAATACATATCACTGCTAACTGCTTCCTGGGCTGTCTTATTGCACCAAGTTAATCTTGGATCTTGTTATTAGTTAACCTATATATAAAGTAGCTCCTCATTTTAGAGAGCTCAATTCTATAGCACTGACTAGGAAAGCACTGCTTCCATCAATCCACATACATAAAAAAAAAAATACCTTTGTCAGACTGGTAAATGATTAGGAACTAATGGACACATCGTTTATAGGGTCTATTTAAAAATTATTTTTATTGTTCATTCTATCCATTGAGTGTTCTTATAGACTAATGGTGGAGACTGACAAAGTGTCTTATAGTAGGTAATGACTTTTATTACACTGGAATTCAATTACTACTACACTTAGAGATAGGTTATAAGTAGATAAATAGATCAGATATAAGTTGCTAATGTTCAGTGTTGAAATATACATTGAGCCACTCAAATCCACTAAGTAGTTATGAACACTTATCTATATTTAGAGATTAATCAGGAAAGATATACTCTCAAAGCTAAATGGGCACATACTCACACCTTGAACACCTTGCAGTTTATATGGCCTACAATACAGGATAGTGTTGCAGTCAGTTTATCTCTAAATGGAGAAGCAAGCAAGCCTTTTCTTAATTTGGATAACAGTTTAACAAGGACTTTAAGATAAAATCAGAAGCCTAATTTAACTTGCCGAATGACCATGAACAAGACATTTAACTTTTCTGCGCTTTCAGGTACTGTTTGTGAAAATGAAAGAAAAAATTAGACATAAGGCTGGCTCTGTAGCTTAATAGTTGAAGGAACTGGATCCCATATGGCTGACTGCTGTTCAAAATCTAGTCCTGGTAGTTTGAAAAACATGCTAGGTGCATGCGTGCCCCAAATCTTTGCTGGACGAAAAAAATGGAGGAGAAGGGACTATGGTGTGATCATGCCCCATTGGGGAGGATGCTTCTCCCCACCCCCTCTCCAATCCCCCATCTCTCTCTGGTGAGTGCACACACTCTCTAACAATAATAATAATAATAATAATAAAAGATTAACTGATACATTAAGGTTCAACCCTAAGTCAAAACTGTTGGCAAGGGGTAACGAAAAAATCGTAAATCTAAATTATGTAATAATTCACCTATGCATTTTTTTTTTCTAAAAAAGGGCTTTTCCCCTGTGGGCAATTATCTAGCAGGGTTAAGTAAACCATGAGGTGGTGTTTAACAGCACATTTCCACTAAATGTCAGATCTCTGGCTCTGACATCTGTTTTGAGTTATTCAAGCAGCTGTCCAAAACAGCTAAAGCAACCATGAACTTCATTTTTTGGTAACACAACAATGGGAACATAGATGGCAGAATCTGTATGAAACTACAATGTTCTCTAAGACATCAGCAAGGTTTTTGCAGAAACTTCCATAGTAATAATTTTTAAACTTCAGTTTTTGTGGTAGGGAAGATATTCACCTGGGTAAGGAATACCGAGATCACTTAGACTGGCATTTTTAAACCACTGGATCAGAAGATCAGGTTAGTGGGTTGCAACCAGCATTTTACTTTTCAATAAATAAAACACAGAAATGGCATACATTATATGTATTGGTAGTATGGATGGTAGTGTTTCATGAAACATTTGTTTCTGATCTTTGTATGTGTAAGTGTCTATACAGATACATGTGTGGTACACACACAGTGGGTGTACACATGTGTGTACATAAATATGAATATAATTAATTTTATATCTGTACTCCAATTGATGAGGTAAAATGTTTCTCTTACATGAATAATAGTCAAAACAGATTGAGAACTAATGTTCTGAACATCACAGATGCTAAGATAACCTTTCCAGGCTTTTCCATTTGGGAGAGTCTATATATGTTCTTTTGTAAACTTTTTAAAAAAAGTTTTCCTTAGAAACAAACCATCCAGGGACCAGCAGATGGTGTAATGGTTACATCAATGGACTCCCATATAATCGACCAACCATGGTTCAGGTCTCAGACCTAGTGGCTTGGAACTCCCGCCAGGCACGTGTGCGTGCGTGCCCAAGATCCCAAGAGGAGAATGGAGGAGAAGGAATTGAGGGGTGGCCATCCCCCCTGGGGGGGATTTCTTGCTCCCTGTCTCTTTCATCTCTCTGGGGAGCACATGCACCCTATAGCAAAAATCTCTCCCAAAAAAAAGAAAGAAAATTAAAAAAAAAAAACATCCAAAAAGACACTGTTTAGGGTGTGTTGATAATTAAGCTTATTTTTACAATGATGAAACTTTTTATCTACTTGGATTTGGAAAAAAAAAAAAAGGCGGCACTTAACAAGATCCTAATTAAGCAGGAAGTGGCGAAACAAGCAGTAATGACCAAGTCATAGCTTCACAGGAAGACCAGGTAGATCTTCCAACACTTTAGGCACTCTCTTGGCATGTGTTTGTTACCTTCCCCCCACCCCCCAAGATTGTGAATTAATTTCCTTAGGCCACCAAGATAGCATTCATTAAAATTTAGATAATGGAACTGGAATCAGACAAAGCCACCTTATCCCATATTTGAGAAATCAAATCAGCATTCAAGGGATGATTTTTTTTTCCATAAGCACTATCCAGGTGGCCCAAATAGAGTTTCCCAAATTTCCGGATGAGTAAATCCAACATCAGAGATTCTAATGGCTAAATACCAAATCAGGGGAGGTATATTTCTAGTCTTCCAGGAAGCTTCTTCCACATCATGTGGTGTCTAGCTTCAAGGACTCTAAAAAGGGTTGGGCGGTGGGGATGCAGGAAGATGGTACAAAGAATTCCACTTAAGAACTTATTGTGGCAGATCAGTTCAAGGGGCCAGGATAAGACACATGTCTACGGCCTTCAAGGGAAAGCTTGGAGGTAATGAAATGTGTCCTAGATGTAAGGTCCCTAGCTGCTCTATGACATCGAAGAAAATGCTTCTGCCTGAGGCTCACTTCCTCCTAATTAACAGGGTAAGATTCATTCATTCTAAGATTCATTCATGTCCTAGACATCTCCATTACAGCAATCATACTATTGTATTATAATTTGAACTTCTTTAGATTTCTGCATCCCCAATTGACCATGAGTGCTTCAAAAGTAAAGAAGAGGTCATTTGTTCTTTGCCTCCCTAGTACCTCTGTTGGTACATAGTAGGCACTTGTAAAAGCTGACAGGACAAAGTCATGAGGATAAAGGTGAAAGCATTTGATTTCTGTCAAGCCTGTGTATGGTCTTGTCATTATGAATCATGACATCTAGAGAGAGGAGATATCTAACTAAGATAGTCAGGGTGGGGGATGTGGTGGTGGGTGGAAGACAGATAAGATTTTTATCTGTTAAAATCAACACATCAGAGGCGCTCAGCAGTGAAAAAATGGCTGGTGCAGACATTCAAAATTAGCTTCCCCTGACGGTTCCTTAGCAACGCTCTACCAGAACATTATTGCTTTTAATGTGCTCTGCACAACGTTCACTCGCACATCAAATAGCTAGGAAATGGCCATTGTTAACTGACACTGAACAAAAAGATAGGAAAAACACACTACTCAAAACACCCTCCTCATTGCCCTTATGGAGAGGAACAAATAGCCCAGATTTTTTGCCGCCCTTCCCTCCCCAGCTGCCTATTAGGGGTGCCAATCACTGGCCACAAAGCCTTGTGTTTTCTCCCTTTGCTTTTCTAAGCTTGCCTTCTATTTGATCACAGGTGAGACTGCTAGTATTCTTTTTATTCATCGAAGGGAGGTGGGTCAGTGACTTTGTTTTGTGCCAGGGCAATAAACCGAACTAAATACTCCCAGAAACTAACAACTGCAGCAAAATATCTCCTTGGGTGAAGCAAAACATCCGAAGCTTGTGCAGGTTGGTGGGAAAATTCTGTGGGGTTAAAATGCTGCTTTCAGGATAAGGGGCAAAATGGACAAGGTCTTCTAAGTGATGGGGAGACGGAAAATAATATTAATGCCTTTCTTTGTAAAAACTGTATTTCATCTACGAAAGTGAAAAAAAAAAATAAAAGCAACCTAGTCTATGAAGATTTAATTATCCCTATCTTTAAATGATGGGGCAAGATGCAACTTTTAAATATAAAAGCCATCCGATTGCAAGTCAGAATCTACTCCCCCCACCCCGTCCACCCCACAGTGCTCACTAGGAGTGTTCTGGGCCTCACTAGAGCATGCAAGAGCTGTGTGTCCCTGGCAAAGGAACCATCTGAGCACTAATTTCCTCATCTGCAAAAGTCACATAATAATTGCTCTTAAGTAAAAGCACCTCATAATTAACTCTTCAGACTAATGTGTGGAGTGAGTAAAGTACTTGACAAATATAAGGTGGTATTCTTATTTCTGGAAACATCTTGATTATACAGGTACTTAAATACAAAATACTCCAAATCAGAAATTCACATTTAAAAATAAAAAAGTTCTCTCTGTGGACCTACACTGGCCTTCTGCCAGCACGTGTTGACTTCTGTAAGGAAAATACACACATCAGTTGAACAAGAAAGCAAGGGCCTGATCTCAGCAAATTCTAGGCATTGGACCTTACCTCTAGAACTAGGGAAGGAGTTGTTGAGTTGCTCCATTACCTCCTCTAACCCTGTGCTTGTGTCCTGGGGAGGACTGAGAAGATCTTCCTCACCTTAATGAAAGCAAAAACAAATAATGGCAAATTACAGGTAAGCAAAATCTATAAATACTAAAGAAAAGGGCCACGATCACATAAATTTATTTCACTTGAAAATCAATAACATAGATTACAAAAAAGCTTCTGAAGCTTAATAATTAGGGAAGAACTCCTTAAATTTAGGGAAGAAGAATTCCATGCAGTAATTTATGTATGTCATTATCTCTAGAGAAGAAAAAAAAAACATGTATATATTCAGAAGTTAAGACAAAATTGACAAACCTCTTTTCTTCTTATGCCCTGTTAACAAATGTGAAACTTATTATTATTGCAGACTTGCAGAGTGTCTCAATACATAAACAAAATAGGAATGTGACATTTTGTGTTCACTTCATGAAGAAGGCAGTGGAGACAGTGAGGTATTTTTTTCACTCTGACATTTAACAAAAAATACAAACAAAACTCAAGTACCTTTAAAGCCCAATGTACTAGAGAGAAATAAAAGTTGTATGTGACCTATATAGGTAATGAAATATTCATATTCTGAGGACTGTAGATTAGGAGTATACTAGGGAGTTATGTTCCTTTCCTCTCTGTTACTTTGGACTACATTATCATAATGGTGTTTCAGGGATTTACAGAGGGTAGAGATATATAATAGTTAACTTTTTTAGAATTTGTTTATGTGATGAGAGAATGATGATTTGGAAACAAAGGAGTTTAGGGATGGACGGTCTTCACCAGGAAGGGGAGTCTCCCTGTAGATTTTGTGGGGCTCTGTCTCTCTTGTTTATTCATGTATTAAATAAATATTTTTTCAAACAGCATTTGCAGTAAGGGGTATATTTCTTAGGTGTGGAACCAGCAGTTAGCGTATTCACTATGTCACTGAACCATGTAGTCAACCGTGGTTCGAGCCCCGGACCCAGTGGCTTAAACTCACGCCAGGTGCATGTGCGTGCATGCCCAAGATCCCGAGAGGAGAATGGAGGAGAAGAGATTGTGGCATGGCCATCCCTCTGGGGGTGACTTCTCCCTTTCTGTTTCTCTATCTCTTTGTGTCTTTCTAGCAAGTGCACACACCCAATAGCAAAACAAAACAAAAAACTCCTCTCCAACAACAACAACAACAAATTTCTTAGGTGTGAGCAAAATTAATTTGAACTTTGAAGGTCCTTTGAGACCAATTTTTCATAATATTCAATCTCCCAGTAGTGAACATAACTTCCTTTCAGGCACTATTTGTTTAGAACATTGTCACTTCTACCTAAAAGAAGTCCCTGCTTCATCAAGTCAACAATAATGAACATGTTCCTTTCTTTTTTGCTTTTCTTTTTTTTTGGAGAGGTTTTTGCTATAGGGTGCGAGCGCTCGCCAGAAAGACAGAGAGAGACAGAGAGATAGAAAGCGAGAAATCACCCCGCCAGGGGGGATGGCCACACCGCAATCCCTTCTCCTCCACTCTCCTCTCGGGATCTTGGGCACACACGCACACGCGCCTGGCATGAGTTTTAAGCCACCGGGTCCGGGACGCGAACCATAGTCGACTACGTGGGAGTCCAGCGACATAGCCATTACACTAACTGCTGGTCCCTAATAATGTACATGTTCTTGAAGATAACTTCAGCTTCACATCTGACTTGGAAATGACAGGAGAGTGCCAGTGACTAAACAACTTAACTATGCTTGTCATTTCCTATGGTCTATGCCACTTGGATTTTCATCTAGGATTATAATCTTGCATGATTTTGTATGTTTTCACCATATTTTCTAAAGCGCAAGCTAAAATAATCATTGCCAATGTTAACCATTAAGACAAAATCATATCCTATGTGTATGTGAGGCTGCATATTGTTAGAATGGAGAGTGAAGAGCCTAGGGTAGATTAAAGAGCTTCTGATTTTGTGTGTTCCATAGTAACACACCATAGGAAACCTCTTTGAAATACTAAGTACAGGAAATGAACGCTAAAGAATTAAAGTCAGAAGGCAGAAAAGGAAGAGTTACAATCTCGCTCTCTCCACCCACACCCCCCCCCCCAACACGCACACACACACTCACTATTTAGTTAAGTAAATACCTTTAGAAAAGAAAAAGTGAGATTCAGTACTTTTAAGCTCTTTATTCTTGCAGTTTTAAAGAACCATTATCTGGTGAAGATGGAATGAATGAAATACTACCAGGAGGAACAGGATCCTGACAGCAGCAGGGCTGATTACATCTCTCTGTTCCATTACTGATGCAAAATTTTGCTGAACTGGGAAACAGGAGGCATTTCTAATGGCAGCAGGTCCACCTTAGTGACAGTATGTCTTACAGAATAAATCAGAACCAACAGGCACACTCATGAGCATCGATATTAATATTTCTGACAGTTTAATTACATCACACTGGAGCTACAGGAACTCAATTGTACTGTGTTAAGATTCAGGTACAGTTTAATGAAGTGACTGGCATTCATGTCCCTGAATTATTTCAAGGATCAAATTATGAAGTATAAACCTAATGGTGTCAGCCAAGTTCACCTGTATAGATAAACTATCATCTGTGATTCTCGAGTATGATGGTCCCAAGTCTGAATGAATGTAAAACTGTCTGAGTTTAACAGAAAAACTTTCATGGTGGTGATAATTATATCAACTCAGACTTTTTAAAGTGACTACAAACATATAAAATTTAATCTTGTTTTCTTCCTTTCTCAATATTCTCAAGATTGTTTTAACTCAGCTCTTTTTTCTTAATGTTACCAATAAAAGTTTATTTAGAAACTCAGAAAAAAGAAAATATGAAACTGTAAGTAGTTAATATATTAAAAAAAAAGACAAAACTGGGATATTAGGTACGCTTGTCTTACATAAATCATCATTATATATACTTTTTTCACATTTTAATTAATTAATTTTTAATTGGCAGAGGGTATGTGCGCTTGTCAGAGAGACACAGAGAGACAAGAGAGGGAGAAAGTACACTTCAATGGGGTGTGACCATGTCCCAGTGCCTTCTCCATTTCTCCATTCTGTTTGGACTTTAGGCACACATGCACATACACCTAGTGTGCTTTGCAAAGCAGGGCAAGGATTTATTTATTTATTCTTTATTTTATTTTTGAGAAGGTTTTGCTATAGGGCACATGCACTCGCCTGAAAGACAGAGAGAGACAGAGAGACAGAAAGCGAGATATCATCCCCCAAGTGGCATGGCCATGCCGCAATCCCTTCTCTTCCATTCTCCTCTTGGGATCTTGGGCATGCACACACACATGCCTGGCGTGAGTTTAAACCAACGGATCCGGGACTCGAACTGTGGTCAAGGGGAGTCCAGCGACATAGCCATTATGCCAACTGCTGGTTCCAAGCCAGGTTTCTTAAATGCCTTAGAGAACTCATGATAATTAAAAAACAGTAAGATTAATTTATTTATTCAAATATTTATCAAAGGCCAACCAACTATATGTCAGGAATTATTCTAGGTGCTGGCTGTTATAGCAATAAGTAACAAAAAAATCCCTGTCTCCATGAAACTCACATTCTCGGGGGGCATATAGGCTAAATAATAAGTGAATTACATGTCAGGTGCTAATAAACACCCTAGAGAGAGTTAATAGGGAAGTAAGGAAGTCTTTAGAAAGGGGAGACATGGAAGTTCTCACTGATTTGAAGACCTGAGGATGTGCGCCATGCAGATACTTAAGGGAAGAATGCTCCAGACAAGGAATAATAAATGCAAAGACTCTGAGAGGGGAGTGTGATAGGCATGCTTAAAATACAGCAAGAAGGCCAGTACTGAGAGTAGAGTGATGAAGGGTTGGGAGAAACCTATGTCCCTGGCCCAGGCATTTGGATTTGGTTATGTGACCATTATAATGATATGCTAGCAGAACTGAGGAGCAGAGAATTGTAATATCCTTGTCCTCTTGTGTTCATGTGCTATAAGATAACTATCTTATCTATCAAGGATCATAGGCCCAGGTAGCCTGCCAACTTAAGGAGGATGAGGGGGATGTGAAAGAGACCTGAACCTAACCCACCCTTGAAGTTCAACCTGGCTGAGTTTCAATGGAACTCCAGTTAAACAACAGGTGTATGAATGAGAAACATGCAATTTGAGAATTTTTGTAGTTATCTGTTACACAGCATTAGTGCCTGACAAACACTATTTTAAGGCATCTAAAGAGCAAGATATCAATAGTTATGTGTATGTATCTATGTCACTGTAATATAATCAGAAACTAGGAACTGTTTCTGACGCTAACAACAATACCTGTGGCCACAAGCCCTCCAGCCACTGGAAAAAAAAATCTTCCCATTTATTCAGTAAGAAAATACTTATTCAGTCTCAACTGTGCATCTAGAAACTTGGCCAACACTCATTGCCACTTCACTGATTCAATGCCTGCTCAAACAGCATGTTGCCAGTGGCCGAGACATGTTAAATATAATTAGAGGAAATTCCTTACATGAACATTTCAACCTGATTCTACTCCAAGGTGATCCCCAAAAACACATACAACTTTTTTTTTTTTTTGGATTGACTACTAGGTATATAGTCTTGGCTTGTCTGAAGTTGGTACAAAGAAATGACTTAAACATTTTAAAAATGAATGCTTCAAAGTAAAGAAAGACATGGTCAAAGTTAAATAGCATCTTGACATAGCATATTATGAAAGTCTCCTTTAATCACTGTTGAAGTGGGAAAAGAAGTAGGATGATTCGATTTAATCTAAGAAGAAATGGAACGGCTTGCCAGGCAATATATTCTTCAAGTCTTCTGAAACATGATGGATTTTAAAACTTTCTTAAAGGGGTAATATCTTGTCTGACTCACTTTCCTCAAATTAGTCAGAACCTATGCAGCCTGTGCAGGATAGATATAACGATCCTCACTCTTTTTGATATTGCCTGTACCGAAGAAAGTTATTTTCTCTTTTAAACAAAGAACTCTGTAGGGCCAGAGGTGGTGTGGTAGTTAAGGTCCTGGATGCCCACATGACCAACCATGGTTCAAGTCCCAGATCT